CTGCACAACGTATTTGTATCTGTGTATAATACACTTATGTGTCATCATCTGTGTCAGAGGAAAGAAAAGCAAAGAGGAATAAGGAGTATTCTAGGGACATGGTTCGGGAAGATCGGATTAGTCTATGGGTATTGTTTCTCCAATGTCAGACATCCCTTGCACAAGGCCTCGCAGTGGTACTTTCTGTTTTCAATATCTTGCTTTTAAGCTCCTTTGATGTTATCAAGTACTTCAAACCTGAACAAACCTATTGTATTTACCCATAGATGATTGCTGCTTTGAGAAATGAAGGGATGTGTTTAAAGACTGAAGGGCCATTTAATACCGAAAATGAGGTAAAGATAAGTCCCTTTATCTGTTACTTAGTTGTGGAATTAAGGTGTAAGATGCAAACTCTCAGCTTTAGTAATAGGTCAGGGTGATATCACTTCCGGTGTATGACTTCGATTTCCCATTTTCCTCAACATGCAGAAATTTATCCAGCATTTTGAACTCCTCCAGAAGGCATCGCTTCCCGAATATGACGCATATGAATCATTCTCAGAATCTACATCTCATGCTCGTCTTGACGTAAGTGTCCTCTATACAACTTTTTTCTTATGCTTAACTTTATTTACTTTGTTAGATGAATTATAGAAGTAGGCGTGTAATAGTAGGTAAAGGTTGGATATGGGTATTTCAGCTATCTAAATCTAATACCTGATGGCTGAAGTATACATGTAAAAAATGGGCCGGATGATTCGTGAATCAAGTAGTGTAAACTTGGTTAATAAGGATTTACTATACATTTAGAATATGTCCATTGTAGATTTATCATTTTAACTATCCGATTAAAAGCAATAACTTGGTTGATAAATAAACACAAAATGTTTTGAGATCCCAATCTTCTTTGAGCACATAATAACATAGGTAACGTTCACTATCTTCTAGTGATGAGTGATGACTGTGTACATGTATAATTTACGTTGTTGTCTCCATGTGAACATGTGAAAAGAGTTGTATCCATTACTTTTGATGCAGTATCTTCCGATGTATGAGTACTTTCACGATGCTCAAAAGATCGCTAAGGACATAAAAGTTGGTTACGCTAACGATCCTGATAAATTGGCTGAAGTAAGGGGATTAGAGAAAGTCGCAGAACGCAATATTGTTGCTGTGAACCTTTTCTGTCAGGACCGTTCGCTTAAGGTGTCGTTTGAGTTCACACACCATCCTTATTTTGCCACTGCTGTTGTCCGTAGATCTTGAAACTCAGTTTCTCTCATTCACTTGTTGCTACTATACAAATCCAATTTTGGGACATACCCTATTTAGTTTTGGAAACAAGTTTGGTTTAATTAGTTCTCTCAGCTTTTTGTTCAATTTATATAAAGTTTTTTTTTTGGTAGGAGGCAGGAGACAAAAGTCTCCTACACTTTATTCAAAATAAAATAAAAATTACAACCGAACTTGACGAGGGTACGTCGACCCATTAGCATCCGCTATCAACTCTAATCGAACACTCTCCGAACAAGCATCAAGATAATAAAAACCTAAAGGTAAAGAGAAAGCATAGTTAGCTAAACCATCGGAGAGACGATTAGCTTCTCTATACACATGCGAAATACGGACCAACCAGTCCCTAGAAAGAAAGCCATAGCACAGACGTATTAGGAACGACAACGGATTCGAGTCACTTATCCCTGTCGTAAGAAAACCCACAACCAACTCCGAGTCCACCTCCAACTCCACCCGGTTCATCCCACACTCCCAGGCCATGTAAAGCCCATAGTACACTCCCCATAGCTCCGCAAGAGGCGCCGAACAAATACCTATATTAAACGCAAAACCTCGACACCACTCCCCATTACTGTCCCGTAACACCCCTCCGGCTGAGGCAAGACCGGGATTACCTCTAGAAGCGCCATCCGTGTTCAACTTCACCCACCCCTCATTTGGTCGAGCCCAAGAGATTAGCCTTTCCACTCTACGGACCTCTCTCGCTGTGCCCAACCCCGTACGATGAGCCTTAAAAACCTCCAACGCAAGATCCTTAATAAACTGCACCCGGTCCCGGCATTGACCATTCCCTCCAAATACATTGCCACAGCGCCACTTCCATCCCCACCAAACCGCCATCGAGAACATTGTGGACCATGAACAACCACCAACATCATGCATATCTCCCAAGTTCGCATATAACCATTCAAGTAAAGACAATGTAAAGAAGGTACCTATAAGCTGTCTTGGTACAATTCTATTCCAAACCCCCGACATCGCTGGACAGTCACGGAGTACATGAATAATAGACTCTTCACCACACTTACATACTTGACAAATACCACTATCCGAAAGATGTCGACGTCTCCTCTCCATATTTGTCATGATAACTTGATGCACGCCTTGCCATAAGAACACATTCACTCTTTCGGGGGCCACAACTCTCCAAACCCGAGAGAACAACAAGCCTAAGTATTGACGGGGCGTATCATCCTGCGTAATAAGACCATAAGCCGACCGGACTGAAAACGACCCATTTGAATCCTCACCCCAAGACAAACGATCTTGCACTCCCGTCACTGTATCAACCACCACAGCAGCTAAACGCAACCGTACAGAATCCGAGACGTAGGGAACAATACTGCTCAGCTCCCACCCGGTGTCATTTCGCCATAGATCACACACTTGCACTTCCGTATACCCCTCTGGCAGCGGTTCTCTCACATATTCTCGAAGCGGGCGGCTCAATAACCATTTATCCTCCCAGAAGCGAATACTCTTACCATCTCCCACCACCCAACTAATCCCTTGTAGAATCACCTCTTGAGCAGCCAAGGTTATACTTCTCCATGTAGACGACCAAGAACTCTTCGAAGCTAACCACGAGCGATCATGAACATCCGTGATTTTATACTTGCTTCGCAAGACAGCGGCCCAAAGGCTAGTTTTATCATTCAAAAGGCGCCACCCTACTTTTGACAAGAGAGCTTTATTCATTTTCTTTGCTGATCTAATACCAAGACCCCCTTCATGTTTTGGTAAACAAACTCGCTGCCACGCAATAAGGTGTTGTCGTCGTTTCTCCATAGTTCCTCCCCACAGAAAATTCCGTGAGACTTTCTCCAACCCATCTAGAGTCGCCTTAGGTAAAGCAATGGTACTCATAGAATGAATTGGAATCGATAAAAGTACTGCCTTCGTTAACGTCACCCGACCCGCAAGGCTCAAAACTTGCTCTTTCCAACCTGAGAGGCGTGAGGTAACGCGTTCCAAAATATCCCCAAATGTTTCCTTATTCAGTCTTTTATGCAGCACCGGCATGCCAAAATACTTGCCCAAGTCCCGCGTTAACTTAATCCCACTCTCATCTGTGATTAGCTTCTCCAAATCCCGATGAACGTTGTTGGAAAAGAAAATTTTAGATTTTTCCAAACTAACTTTCTGTCCTGATGCATTACAGAACCTCTCAAGGACCCTTCTAATAACTCGAATTTGCGAGACCGACGCTTCAGCAAAAAGGATGAGATCATCCGCGAAGCATATGTGAGAGAGTTTCGGCCCACCCCGAGACAAACTAATCGGCTTCCACTCTTTTGAACCAACAGCAAGGTCGATTTGATGACACAACCGCTCCATGCACAGAACAAACAAGTAAGGTGACAAGGGATCCCCCTGTCTTAAACCCCTCTGCGGACTAAAAGCATTCGTCTTCTCCCCGTTCCATAACACCGTCATTGCCGGACCCGTGACACATTGCATGATCCACGTTATCCACGTCTCCGGTAAGTTCACCGCCTTGAGAGTATCTTCTAAAAAGTCCCATCTTATTCGATCATATGCTTTTTCCAAATCCAACTTAAGCAACATCCACCCTTTCCGACCCTTTTTCCTCCTCATTGAATGAACTGCCTCTTGCACCACTATAATATTATCTGTGCTTAAGCGTCCCGGGATAAAACTAGACTGTGCCGGGCCAATTAGCTTAGGCATGACTTTTTTCAGCCGGTTAACTAAAGTTTTAGTAATTGTTTTAAACAACACATTACATAAACTTATAGGCCGGAACTGAGAGATCATCTCTGGCTTGCCTATTTTCGGGATGAGAACAACCAACACATCATTTGCTCCCTGAGGTAGTTGGCCAGTGGCAAAGAACGATAACACAAACCGATTCACTGACTCACTCACCACCTCCCAACAGTCTTGGTAGAAGACCGGTTGAAAACCATCCGGACCCGGGGCTTTAAACCTACCCATACCACGAATCGCATCCTCCACTTCTTTGCCCGCAAAAGGAGCGTTCAGGGCTACAACTTCATCCATTGACAACCTCGGGAAGCCATGCGGATTCAATGTTGTAACAACCTCATCCACATCCTCCAAGGAGTACAACCGCTTATAGTATCTTACAGCAAGGTTCTCAAGCTCTACCAAATCCGAAATCCACCTTCCCTCATCACTCTTCAGCATCTCAATCCTATTTCGCCGTCGCCGGATTATAGTGGAGGTGTGAAAGTACTTAGTATTACGGTCCCCAAAGGCAATCCACTTCTCTCTTGATTTCTGAAACCAAATCAATTCCTCTTGTTCTAACACAATATCAAATTCCTTTGTCAGCTCTTCCTCTCGCTTTAGAAGATCATCACTTTGACAAATTTCCAATCTGTCTTGAACCAATTTAATCTCACTAACCAGTTTCTCCTTACGTTTTTGCACATCTCCAAAAACCTCTTTGTTCCAACGTTTTAAACACTCTCTAAGTTTATCCAGCGCCTGAATAGTCGATAAACCATTATCCCAGGACTGTACCAAGAGCTCTTTAAAGCTTGCATGTTGAAGCCACGCTGCCTCAAAACGGAAAGGCCGTCTACTCGGATCTCTTTTACTATCGGGGCACAATTGGATATAAAGAGGGGAATGATCCGAGGACAAGAAAGGAAGGTGAGTAACTGAAGCCTCCTGCCACTTCAACCTCGCATGAGCAGAACAGAGTACTCGGTCCAGTCTTTTAGCTACAAAATTCATCGCCACACGCCCCCTACGCCAGGTAAATTTATTTCCCTTGAACCCCATATCAATGAGACAAAGCTCATTAATCCAATCACCAAATGCAATGGAATCCGCAGATAACCTTCCATTCCCACCCGCTCTTTCATCAATCCTTACAATGGTGTTGAAATCTCCACCCACAAACACCGGTTCTGTAATGTTATGTATCTCATCTCGAAGTTGGTCCCACAGCCCACTTCGCCTAGTAGCAGACGGAGCAGCATACACCGCAATAACATGGAGACTATCCGTCCCGTTCACAATTTTGGCATGGATGAATTGGTCCGAGGAGTTCACAATCACCACATCGCCGATACCAGACCGCCACAACAGCCACAAACCTCCACTTTGGCCAACAGCATCCACCCTGAAAGAGTTACCAAACCCCAGCCCTTGACAAATCTGACGCGCTCTGTCACCTCCTGCATGTGTTTCAAACAGAGCTAGCACATCCGTGTTATATCTTTTCAGGATATAACGGATTGATCTTCGGAAATTTGGTTTGTTCGCCCCCCGGCAATTCCAAAATAAGCAATTGATCGTCATTGATAATATCAAAAAGGATATATGAATTCCCGGGGACAAACGTTATGCTCTCGTTCCCTCCTCAGCCAACGCAGGAGAATTAATGTGCATAACAAGCTCCCTGTTACCCAACTCGACACCCAACTGATGCATAGCCCCCACATTACCAGAGCAGGCCTTAGTATCCAGCCCCCTCGCCTTGTCACCATCATTAACAAAAGCTCCTCCCGGTCGGCCATCACTCTCCTTCTCCATCCGCAACCTCTTCCCCGACACAGATAGCTCCACCTCACCCTTGCTTGGGCCAAAAACCAAACCTCGCATCGGCCTGCCTCCTCTACTTTTGGGCTTAACTCCCACGTTCTTAGGCCCATTAGGTCCTATAGCAATTCCCAGACCAGCCCGTGTCCCTTTAAACACACCACCAAAATCTTTGTTTGCCTCTATGCGCTTCCCGCCGAAAACACTTTCCTTCTCTACCATCACACCCTTCCCATTATTCAAAGAATCTGAGAGAATCTCATTCTCCTTATTCTCCTCCCGTGAATCAGCCACTTCCCTTACATCACCCGAGATCTCCTCACCCCCAAGCTACCAAACTTATTAGAAATGGAAATATTCCTAATAACCTTAGTCACCGGGATTTCCCGAAGATTACGATTCTGAGAACCGCCCCGAACTCCGACGGTCGTGTTACTCTTCTCCTCCCGTGGTTTAGTTCGCCTCTCCCTATCTCGAACCACTGCAAACCCATCATCCATCGAACTAACCTCACTCACTACTCCACCCGATACCACTTGGGCATGGACAGAAACATTCTCCTTCACAACTAGGGGGCATGCATGGACGAGATGACCGTACATCCCACACTTCGAACAAATAGTCGTCAACCCCTCATAAGACACAAAGTACCTCTCTCCATTAATCAATATTGTACCTTTTAGCGGATTTTTCAAATCAACCTCCACACATATTCGGGCAAAACGAGCTCGCTCAAACTGTAACGTGGTAAGATCCACTTTAATCGGCGTCCCCAAACCTTCCGCGATACCCATCAAAATAAATTGATGATAGAAATTCACAGGCAGATTCGATAATCTGATCCAAACCGGTGTCGTTGTGATCTCATCTCTTAACGGATCAAATGATGGAGACCATGCTTGAGTAAGAAGGCAACTCCCAAAGACCCTCCATGGTCCTCCTGTAAGAGCCGCCATGTATTCCTCTTCCTTCTCAAAACGAATCATGAAGAATTGACGTGGAAGATCCATCACGTGCATCGCCCCCGCCGGTTTCCACAAATCACGCAATCTTCTGCTCAACACCGAGACCGAAACACTACGCCCTAAAACCTTAACAATCATACACCTCCGCCACAACCCATTCATAACCTCCAACACCTCTGCCCCAACCGTGACAACAGGTTCACCAGCCTTCCCATCCGGAAACTCCACACACAACCTCTCCTTCACAAACTTTGCATCAAAAATACCCTCCGGATTCGGCATACCATTCGAACCACCGGCTGCCACCATCTTCGCCCACGACCGCTGGTTATCCGGTGGATCACCCGGAGGTCGACCACAATCTCCCACATCCACCATCGACACATCCTTTTCACTCGTCCCCAAAACCCTAGAGTCGCCTTCGAGAGCCGTCATAAGTTCTTCTTCACACTTTGGGTAAGTATTTTAATGGCGAGTTGAGTTGTATAATTTATATAAAGTTTTGTTGTACAATTTTGTTGCTCTAAGAAATTTAGCTATTATAAATTTTCAACTTGCTTGTTGAAGTATTGTTTTGCATAACACGTGCCTTGTTTAAGTATTGTTTTGCAATAGAGTTGAGTTCTTTATCCTCCATCTTTCATTCCAAACTTCTAAATATATTTTGAAGATTTATACCATTGACAAGGACTAGTAAACCTATAACTAAAGAAAAAACGCTTTATTGAACATTTATATAATGGCTCGTTATTACGCTTCTCATGCATACATACCAATCTATATTGTATAACCTTAGATCACCACACAGCCACTGCATCAGAGTTGGTTGAGGCTGCTCTTTCTCTTGCCATGGAGAAGGCAGTCCATACGCTGCTTCTCATTGGTTCCCCAAAAGAAACCATGCTTCAAAAGTTGTATGGAAAACTATAAAGATGTTGTAGCCTAGGGGCTATAGAAAGCAGAGTGGTCGACATAGAAAGTATTAATGTCGATCATGGATGTGTATAATCATATTACGTTTGTGATGAGCGTAGGAGACTCTTGTTGTAGAATCTCGAAATTGCATTCAAATTTACAATATGTTTTGTGTATTACAGTCATTAGTATGATCTTAGAATTTATTCTTGTCTATTCTTGTTTTTGTTTTTTTTTTCTTTTTTTATCACCTTCTTGTCTATTCTTGTTATATTGAGATAAACACATTTTCTATGGGTCTGATTCGTAACATGAGTGAGAAAAGTTTTAAACTAACACACACACTCATTGTCGTCGGAGATAGTCAATCTTAGTTTGTAAATCGAGAAACTTGCTAACATAAAACATAAGCTTTGTGATAAACTCGATAGTCTTTTCACAATTTTCAATGTATGAGTAAGCCTTACAATTATTTGATTAGCCTAGTCGCTCCGATTTAAGTTGCACACAAGTTGAAATGCCAACCAATTGGTTTTGTCCATTGATTTTGTTTATCTAGTCAATCGAATTTATAAACCAGCTCATACTATAGATAATAATGATTATTGAGCTTAATTAGTCAACATCATACATATGTTATTGAGTTTTACTTCAAGATCCACTAAACAACATTATAAATATAAATAAAAGTATTTAAAATGTTGCATTATATATTAGGGACTAAAATATTGTGTCTTTTGACCAAAAAAATATGGGAAAAATGCCATAAAAATCCTGGAGCGTACGATTTCGTTGGTTTAAATCCCGAACTTTCCAACTGTTGATTTAAATCACAAACTTTTTGTTTACTCTCTCTTTAATATGAAACTTTAATTGACTTTGCCAATTTAGGCACATCGTTAAATCGCCAAACGGAGCAATTAAACGGGTTTGAATGTCATTAACGAAATCCGTCAAATACAAAATGAAACCGTTTTAACATAACCCAAACACTTAATCGATTCAACTTTTTCCCCAAAACACTTAACAGAAAGTTGAATCGATTAAGTGTTTGGGTTATGTTAAAAACGGTTATATTTCATATTTGACGGATTTCGTTAACGACATCTAATTTCGTTTAATTGCTCCGTTTGGTGTTTTAAAGATGTGCCTAAATTGGCAAAGTCAACTAAAGTTTCATATTAAAGAGAGAGTCAACATAAAGTTTGTGATTTAAATCAACAGTTGGAGAGTTCGGGATTTAAATCAACGAAATCGTACTCTCCAGGATTTTTACGGCATTTTTCCCAAAAAAATATATTCCACATGAATTTATTATGTTTTTAGTAACCTTGGATTTTATATTGACTATAATAGGATTAAAATCTCAATGGCTCCTTTCGGTCTAACTTCAATCACAAAAACGTCCACTTATTCTCACTACCCCATTTCCTTGGGACCAAAATCTTTGATGCCCTTTGACCTATATCTTTATTCTAATAAGGGTTTGACCAAAGGAAAAAATAATTAATTTACTTAAAAAAATCGAAAAATGGGTGTAAATACCTACACACCCTTACTAAACCTAAAAATTACAGATCCAACCACATAAAATCCGAAAACCCATTTCACTTTTGGATATCCATCGGATCTTTCACCCTTTTGTCTTCCTCATCGATTGAAAAATCATAAAACTCTCAAATACTAAGTGTTTGAAAAATCCAAATATCACAAGCAGTTCGTCGAGTACAACTAAGGACAACTTGATTCTGGGTAAGTCAAAATCAATGATTCTTTGGGTATTTTATGTTAGATCCGCTTGGATGTTTGTCGATTTAGGTGTTTTCGATTTGTTAATCTAGTTTGGGGTTGTTGATTTTTTTTATTACTCAAGTATGTTGTTAATTTGCGGTTATTTATTTTGTGTGAAGGATAAGAGAATGGTGCGTACAAAGAACACAAGCTTTAAGAAAGAATCAGATCTAGTAGGTGAAATCGAAAAGGCAACAGATGCAATCGTAGAAGAAAATGGGACTCGTGGAAATGAT